TTTTCCTTTTTCCTTTTTCCTTTTTCCTTTTTCCTTTTTCCTTTTTCCTTTCTCCTTTTTCCTTTCTCCTTTCTCCTTTCTCCTTTCTCCTTTCTCCTTTCTCCTTCTCCTTCTCCTCCCTTTATCCCTACCCCTACCCCCACTTTCCTTGCCTTTGTTTTCCAGGAACTCAGGAAGATCCCTTCGGAGATGCTTCCCACATCCCATTCCTTTTGTGGGCTGGGGTGTCTCTTATACGGCCATCGCCCTGGCTGCACCTCTTCCCCCTCCAGTCTCTCCAGGATATTCCAATAGAGCATTACATGTTAGCTGTTGGCATCTTTCTAGCCCCTTACCCATCTGCCCATCGGTTGGCATGTGCCCCTCTCCCCCCTCTTTCCTGTTTTGATTCTCCCTTTCCTTCCATGCAGCAATCCGTGAAGTTGCACCAGCTGGTGGAATCCCATAATAGTGTCCTGGTCAAGGTGTTCAGCAAACAGACAGGTAAGGCAGCCCAAGAGGCCTCCATCATCCACTTTGTGTCTGAGCCAGGGACCAGAGAGAACCCTGAGGGTGTTACAAAATTGAGTTCAAACCATTGAAAGTAGAGTTTCCCCAAATAGAGTTTATTCTTGCGTAATTCAGATGAAAAGCAAGATAAGCGTGCAATTAAGCTTAATCATCTCCTTTATATTTATGTACCTACAGTATATATATATTGCTTGTCTAATTTCAAAGTTCGCTTACTACGATAAGCTATACCCAACAAGGCTATGCAGATAACTATGCCCAACGAGGCTACTCAAGTTGCTGTAAGTATTGTTGCCCAACTAGGCTACTGTCAAGGCTGACTAGGGTTGCCAGGTGTCCACTATTTGAGTGGACAGTCCACTTTTTTCACATTATGTCCACTATTTTTTTTCACAAAATAGTGGACATTTTTTTTATTCAAAAGCTTTATGATGAAATGGTACGTAATCTAAAGCGGTACAGTCTACTTTTTTTACTACTTAACCCACCCCCCCCGCTTGTCCGCTATTTTTTGGAAGCAGACCTGGCAACCCTAAGGCTGACTCGGATTTTGCAATTCTTCTTGCAGCTTGACAACCGAAACAGAAGGGAAGGGGTGGAATTCCTGGGGGTGGCTGGGAGGGGCCCAGGGATCCAGGCCTGCCGGCAGAGCCTAAAAAAGTTCCTGCACTTCAATGTTATGTGATGAGAACAGTGCAGACTGTTTCTCAAAACACAAAGAATGCGTTGGATGGGTGGACAATGGACAGTGTGTGTGTGTGTGTGTGTGTGTGGGGAGGGGCTAATGGGTAAAAGGGGAAATCACTTATGCTGCTTCCCTTGGGAACCTTTAGAATCGTCTTTGCTTCTTCTGTGCCCATCAGTAAAGTTATACGCTAGTAAAATTATGTCCCAGGGGTTTCTTTTTCTGCATATGCCGGTTGACAGCTACACATTCACACAATACCCACATGTGCTCTCCGCACAGGGGATCAGGCTGTGTCAGAGTGGGCTGGGAAGCAGACTCAGGGTGTCCCCTGCTCCAGGAAGAGTCGTCTCCCACTTCGGAGTTCTGGGTTCATTCCAGACTTCTCTTCATACCCAGCTTGTTTACTCAGAATTCGTGTGTACGGTCCATCTTGCTCCAGTCATGTCAGGAACTGCACATTCTCACTCCCTGTTCCGTGACTCCGTGAAAAAATGCCGTCCACTGCATTCCTTGCACCCACCAATGTCCCACTTGGTATCATCATCAGCAATTCACTCATAACACGCATCCAGGGTCAGCGATACACACATATTCCAGTGTGAGTTTCCCGGTGGGTTCATGAAAAGGCTAGATGTGCTTGTACCCACTGTACTCATGACTTATTCTAATGTATACTATACATCATGTATCATATATATTTATAGCACATAACATATAATGTGTAACAAGGAGGCGTGGGGCAGGAACCGGGACTTGCTAGATTCCCTCATCAGTTGCAGAGCTGTGGGTGAGGGGCCTGCCTGGAAGAGGCAGCAGCTTTTGGGGCCCCCCATTCCTGCATGAGGAGCAGCACCCCAAAGGCAGGAGCTAAGCCTGTGATGGCAAACCTATAGTACGCATGCCACAGGTGGCACGCAGAGCCCTCTCTGTGGGCACGCGCGCCGTCGCCCCAGTCCTAGGCCTTCAGCTGGGTTTTATAAAACCTTTTTGCTTTAGGCCTCCGCTGCTGTGTGCAAAAAAAAAAAAAAAAGGTTCAATCAGTCAATTTCAACTTCTTGTGGAAAAAAAAAATCTCGCAAAGTTGGAATTGATTGATTGAACTTTTTAGTCCTACCCAGTCTGCCGTTACCACCACAGCCACACCCACCCAATGGGCCACGCCCACCCAATGGGCCACGCCCAACCGGCACCCGACGATACATAAGTGGGTTTGGGGTTGCAGTTTGGGCACTCGGTCTCTAAAAGGTTCGCCATCACTGAGCTAAGCTGTCCAGCTAGAATGGGGCCACAGGGGGCCTGGGTAGAGCCGGCGGGAGGAGGCAAAGCACGGTCTTCCTTGGGCTTAGCCCCAGTTGGGAGACCAGCCCCGGGGAGACCCGAAGGGCTGAAACACAAAGACTGCAGAGCCCCCCCTCAAAGACCCTCTTTTTTCTGACAGGCACCCAGGAGGTGGAATCCCGCCATTTGGTGCCCGGAGACACCCTGATCCTGGACGAGGGCAGAAGCCTGCTGCCTTGCGATGTCCTCCTGCTCAGCGGCCAGTGCATCGTGGATGAAGGCATGCTGACGGGTGAGCGGTGCCAGTTTGATGGCTTTCCCCGTTTCCCAAGACCACAAGTGAAGCTTCAGCTGAGGTGGTTTGTTGCTAAAAGCCTCTGCATAATTAACCAGAGGTTTTGGGCGCTCCATGACTGGAGGCTGTCAAAAAGAGACTGGACAATCATTTGTCTGAAATGATATAGGGTCTCCTGCGCGAGGAGGGGGCTGGGCTAGAAGACCTCCAGGGTCCCTTCCAACTCTGTTATTCTACGTTCTCTTCTAAAAATCTTCTCAACTCACAATTTGCACCTGCTAGGAGTTATTTCAGGGTCAATGGCACTCAAGGGAGGTTAGACTTTGTCCACTTGTGGCTACATAAGGATGCTAGGCTGATCCCTCTTTTAACTCCATCCCCTCGGGTTCTGCCACTCCTTCCCCTACAGCAGGGGTAGGCAACCTTGGCTCTTTTACGACTTGTGGACTTCAGCTCCCAGAATTCCTGAGCCAGCTGACCCTCCCTCTCCTGTCTCCTCCAGGGGAAAGCCTTCCGGTCACCAAGACCAGCCTGAGCCGTGATTGCAAGAGCGCCCAGCCGTGGCATCTCAGCTCCGCCGAGGACAGCAAGAGGCACCTTCTGTTCTGTGGGACGGACGTCATCCAGGCGAGGGGAGACGATGGCGGACCAGCAAGGGCTGTCGTGCTGCGGACCGGTGGGTGAACAGGCATGTGTGATTGTGAGAAAGGTGTAAGGTGGACAATGGGAGGTGGACAGAAAACTGCCCTCTCCCCAAAACCTGGACTCTTCTGGAAGGGATCCCCTCTTCCCTCCCTTCATTAAACTGCCTGATTCTGGCATCCATTCGGTCAGGATCGGGGAAGCATTCAGGGTCCTGCTCTAGACATCCAACCCTCCTCCAGATGTCTTCTGAAGTGGCCTCCAGCCACAGATGCACAGAGTGACCCTCCAGTGGTTTGGGATGTCTCATACTCATGAGGTAGCTATGGGTCATGTCCACCACCTGTAAAAAGCACCTTCCTGTCCATGCTGATCCAGGTAGGGTGGGAAGTCTCTGTCCTTCAGTCTGATGCTACCTTCCTCTTCCTCCACCTTGTCTCCACTCTAGACTCTGCAGGAACTGAGCAATAACTCTGTAAGCCCAACCTGTCTTCCCTCACCTCCCATCCTTGGGAGGGATCTAACCGTAGCTGCCCCTCTCTCTTCTTCACCACCTCAGGTTTCAACACAGCCAAGGGAGACCTGGTGAGGTCCATCCTGTATCCCAAGCCGATGAACTTCCGCCTCTACCGGGATGCCATGCAGTTTCTCTTGTGTCTCGTCGTGATGGCTGGCATTGGAATGGTCTACGCTGTCTGTGTCTTTGTAATAAATGGGGTGAGCAGCGGGGGGCATGGCAGAGGCTGCCCAAGGGCTTCTGGAGGGGGCATAGGGAGGGAAGCCCCTTCCTTGCTCGGTTAATCCTGCTGGTGGCTCTACATACAAATCCATGGTTCAAGCAGTGGTTCAGAATCGATAAGTGCTGCAGTTATCATAGCTTTAGTCTAGAACAGGGGTATCCAACCTTGGCTATTTTAAGAGTTGTGGACTTCAACTCCCAGAATTCCCAGAGTTGAAGTCCACAAATCTTAAAAGTGAAAAAGCTTGGGCACCCCCCCCCCCGGTCTAGAAGGATCTAGATAAAGGCTAAGATCTATCCACCAGATTGGATAGAGGAGGCACTGCAGACCCCTTCCTTAAATGTTGCCATCTAGTGTTTTCCCCTTGAGATCTGCTAGGCCCTCGCCCTTTTAATCTTCTAGAAAGCCATCAAAAACTTGCAGTCAAGTTGTTGCCTGAGGGACAGTACAGATGAATGGGTATAAGGTTCCTGATTCATCTTGATTTATTATTATTATTATTATTATTATTATTATTATTATTATTATTATTATTATTATTATTATTATTATTATTATTATTATTATTATTATTATTATTATAATATTGATTTTATTATTGTTATTAGCCACCCAGAGTTGTGTTCCACTTTCAAATTTGCCAGGAAAATTGCAGGGCTGGTTGGTCCAGGCAATTGCCAGGAATCGACCCAAAGGCACCCCATAATAAACAAACAAACAAACAAACAAACAAATCCATCAATCCATCCATCCATCCATCCATCCTGATTCTAGTATGAGAAGGGTGACATGGATTGGGTCCGTCCGTTTTTGGTTCCCTTGGCCAATTAACAACAACAACAACAACAACAATAATAAAGTTGGAAGGGACCTTGGAGGTCATCTAGTCCAACCCCTACTCACCTGTGAGCTTTGGATGTTTCAAATGACCATTCCCACAGTCACATGTTACTGGCCAGGCTGGCTTGGGCTGATGAAAGTTATAGTCCAAAAACATCTGGAAGGCAGCTGGTTGCCTCCTTGGTCTTCCTTGGAAGATGACTTTCCGGAGAACCTCCTTGTCAAGGATTTCCCTGGCAGGAGGGTGAAAGCTGGTTTAGCACCCACATCCCTTGGCCTCTAGACCTGACTTCCCTGCCCGACCTTGCTGACCGCCGCCCTCCTTCCTTCCACATGTCCCTCAGCAAGAGGCCGGTGAGGTGGTGAAGAAAGCCCTGGACGTCATCACAATCGCCGTGCCCCCAGCTCTGCCTGCCGCTCTGACCACGGGGATCATCTACACCCAGAGGAGGTTGAAGAAAAAGGGGATTTTTTGCATCAGTCCCCAGAGGATTAACGTCTGCGGCCAGCTGAACCTCATCTGCTTCGACAAGGTGAGTGTTTTCACTCCCAAGGGAACCACGGATTTCAGCTTGACGGTGCTGGGAGACAAATGAGGTGGATGACAACAGGTCGCTGGGTAGCAACAATTCTGAAGGCTTGCAAGTCAAAGTTCTTCAATCCTTGGCTTAGTGGTAGGAAGGATGGAGAACTGGTGGGGAAGACTCTTTGTCACCCAGTGGCCCTGTCTAAGGAGGAGGTGACCAGGCTGAGCCCGAGGGACGGAAGGGTCAAACGCGTCATCACTCTTGAGTCCTTTTGGGCTCACAAGAGATCTAAGTCCGTGAATTCCCTGGACTCTTCTCTGCCGCCCACCTGCTTGGACAATTAGTAGTTCAGATTCTTGTAGAGAACTTTAGCATGCAATAAACCTATATTCATTTGAACTGCCTGGACACTCTCCTGGTTTCCTATCTTTGACGGAAGAGAGTAACCATTTAGGAAGGAACGAGAGGGGTGATGCCTTTTGAGGCTGCTGGGATGTGTCGTGAACTCATTTTGCTGACCAAAGTGCTCATGTGCAGAACCTGAGGTGGCGACTGAGGCAGCCTGGTGACATGAGGTCACCTGATCCCCTGCCATGAAGTGCTTTATATAGTAGATGGTGACCCTCATCTTGAATTGCTCCCCAAGCCCAGTAATGGTGATGCAGGGCAAACTATGCACTCAAGACTGCACAAATTGCCATGTTCTGCCCCAGCTTCTGAGCAGTCTTCAAGGGCAGCCCCATGTAGAATGCATTGCACTGAAGTGTGATGGTTGGTGAGCAGAGACCCCAGGCCAGGAACAGACCCAATTGGCGCATGAGAGCAGTCTGCGCAAAGACACCCCCCCCCCGGCCATAGCTGGCTACTGTCTTTGGGTAGCAGCTCAGGGCCCCAGGAGGACCCCCAGATTATTCACCAACTCTCTCCACACCCTGACTGTGCTTTCCTGTTTTCTCTTTGCCCACTGGCAGACGGGCACCCTCACTGAAGATGGGCTGGACCTCTGGGGCATTGTCTTGGCTGAAGGAAAGAGGTACCTAGCTATGGATTTCTGCTCTCCTGCATTTTGTTTTTAAAATTCAGTTGATATATTTAAGAAGTGGAACGTACCACAACTGGGTCACAAGAATTTCCGTTGCTAAGTGATGCAATTGAACGATCACGTTGCTCAGGAATGGAAATATTGGCTCCCGTTGTTCAGATTATCCCCAGTTGAGTCATGCCCAATATTAAAACTGTTTTTGCAGTGGTTGTTAAGTGAATCAAGATTTCCCCATTGGCTTTGTTTGTTGGAAACCCTCCAGGAAGGTTACAAGTTGAGGTCACCTGGGGATGCCACAGCCGACATGAATGCATGCCGAGTGCCGTATCCTCAAATTGAGATCACGTGACCCTGGGGATGCTGCAACTGAAGTCATAGGCCAGGGCTAGGCAACCTCGGCTCTTTTATGACGCATGGACTTCAACTCCCAGAATTCCTGAGTCAGCTATGCTGACTCAGGAATTCTGGGAGTTGAAGTCCATGCGTCATAAAAGAGCCGAGGTTGCCTACTGCTGTCATAGGCAAACGGTTTTTTTCAGTGCTGCCATAACTTCCCAAGGTTGGTAAACAAATGGTCATAAGCTGTAATCTTGTCTAGCCAATGTTGGAACCTGGGTAACTATAAATGTCCTGAACCTTCTACTCACTGATGTCTCTCTGAAATCCGGAGCCTCTGCAGAGGGCAACTTCTGAGTAATCTTATCTGACATGGAAGCTAAGTAGGGTCGGGCCTGGTTAGCACTTGAATGGGTGACGGGGCTGCCACCTGCTGAGGCTAGACTAGAAAGTCCAAAATCACCCCAGAAAAAGGCAGTGGCAAGCAACCTTAGTGTTACTGCCCAAAACGTGGACCGACATGTCCATGAAGCCAAGCTTCAGTTGAGGGCATCTACTTTGCACCTCAGAAATTCACTTGTGTGAAATCCCATAATAAGATCTGCAACTCCCCAGAAGGTGGATCTTGCTCTTCTTCCTCAGGAACTCCAGGTAGGTTCCAGAACCATTTCACCTTGCTAAATCCAGGAGGGTTTTCGCTGTGTCCCATCAGATGTTCACAAGATCTCCTTGCCTCCTGGAGGGTTCTCCAAGTAGCTAGACTCGCCACCCAGGGTTATCCGTTTCAGAATGATGGCACAACAATGCTTGCAAAGCACTGGGGTGTGTGTGGGTGTGTGGCACAGGTCTTGTAGAAGAATAGCAAGAGTTGAAACACAATTTCTGGGGAGACTCAGAGGCTCAAAACTCAAGGCAACTAAACATACCTTCAGTGGTGGTCAGTTTCTTGCCTCTGTGGGTCATCTACGGTGGCTTGTGTAAAAGTGTGTGACTGATTGCCTCCACCCCAGCTTCCAGGAGGTCCATCGCTTCTCTTCTGGCCAGCCGATGTCCTGGGGCCCGGCGTATGCAGCCATGGCCTGCTGCCACTCCTTGATGGTCCTGGACGGGAAGATTCAGGGGGATCCGCTGGACCTCAAGATGTTTGAGGCAACTCACTGGGTGAAGCTCCATGTTGTTCTTTTGGAATTAGCCTAAATCTGGGATTGGTCCTGTTGGTGCCCCCTGACGTGGGACGTGGAGGAAGTCTGGGTGTGTGAACTGAGGGGGAAGCCCGGTCTGTGGGCTGCTTCCTGGTGACATCCTTGGGGTGCCACCTTTCCTCTGGCCAAGCTCAAATGCCAATTGACCCATTTCACCCCTGTTCAGCCACTGTCTCTCTTCCCCGAGCCCTGGCACGTCACCAAACATGCAATTGGCTTCCCCATCAGTTCAAGACCCAGGGAGGCCACCTAGGTGGGGATGCCATCACTCAAAGGACACGAATCACATCATTGCCTCATTTGCATGTTGATGATGTCACGATGTATCCCCTTTGGCTGGCTCAGGAATTCTGAGAGTTGAAATCCACCGGTCGTAAAGGGGCCCTAGTTGCCCACCCCTGCCCTACGGCCATCGACAGGCCCAAGTTTCTTTCCCCCCGTCTGACCTTACCGGAACAGTCTATTTCTTGAAGCTGTGTAGCTCCTCTTTTCAACATAACCTCATCCACCTTTCAGAGAAACGTAAGGCCCAGCCCTCCTGCTGAGTCCTATGGGAGAAGGGCGGTATACAAATTAAAATAATAATAATAATAATAATAACTTTTCCTTCCGCTTAAAACAACAGGAACTTGTGGATTCCGTTGAGTGGGAAGGAGGACCAGCAAATGTTCTGATGGTCAGACCAGGACCCGAAGCTGTGGAGGTAACTGCCCGGTGCCTTTTGTCAGCCCTTAGCAGAGAAAAGAATCTCTTTTCTTCCTTTGTGCCTTTACTTATAAATCTGTTCAAACCGGCATTAACGTGGCATTTTGCCCATGTCTCGCCCAGAGGAGCCTTGCATGCAAGCAGGGATCAGAGGGGCCTCTGGCGGTGCCCAGGGACCAAGCCTAGGTGCCATTCGGTCTGATCTTGCCCACCGCCCGTGAGTGGTTGAGAACAGGACACTCTGAACTGGCACCGGCTTCCTCTTGGCTCCTTCGAGGGGGGAGGGCAATGGGTGCCAGCTGTGTCTGCTTGACTCTGGACCAACTGGGGCGCTCGTCTTGCTTATGGTCCAAGTGGTTGAGCGAGCGAGTTTGGAGCCTTCAGTGGATCCACTCCTGGTGCTCATGGACACCAGGGTGGACCTTCTGCCAGTTGGGTAGCCACCCAAAGTTTTGGCCAAATCCCCTGCCAGGCCGATGAGGTCTCCTTTGAGGGAGGGGAGGGGCCAAAGCCTCTGTCTGGTTCCCACCTCCGACTAGGCAGAGTTGTTACTCCAGCTGCTGCCAGTGGGCAGAGGGAGAGCAGAACTGGGGCGCTGGGATGCCAACAGCTGATTTGGGGCTGGGTCACATGACTTGGCATCGGTCCTGGCTACCTCCGAGACCGCCTTCTGCCGCAGATTCCCTCCCACAGACCGGTACGCTCCCACAGAGCGGGCCTCCTCAGGGTGCCGTCGGCCAAGCAATGTCGGCTGGCGACCCCCAGGGGGAGAGCCTTCTCTGTGGGTGCCCCCACCCTCTGGAACGAACTACCCCCCGAGATCCGGACGATTCCGNCAACAAGCGGGCCTGACCTAGGGTGAATTTTAAATAGGGATAATTTTTAATGATTTTAAATAGTCACAGCCACTAATATTTGGATTTTAATTGGTTTTTAGAAGGGGTAATTTTGTATATTGTTTTAATATGCTGTGAGCCGCCCTGAGTCCCATGGGGAGAAGGGCGGCATATAAATTTTGTAAAATAAATAAATAAAAATAAATCTAGTAAATCTCATTCTTGGCCAGTCTACTAAAAAGGTGTCACGTTGGTTCCCATAACCCAGGGGTCTTCCAACTTGGCTCTTTTATGACTTGTGGACTTCAACTCCCAGAATTCCTCAGCCAGCGTGCCACGCTGGCTGAGGAATTCTGGGAGTTGAAGTCCATAAGTCATAAAAGGGCCAAGTTGGAAGACCCCCTACCATAACCACTGACCTGTCAATGTCCCACCATCCCATTTTGCGTTATACGGACAGGCCAGGAATGGCCGCGGGTGCAGGGCAAGGCCTCCCTCCCTCCCTCCTGTGTCTCAGCTCGTGCCTTTCTCCCCAGGTGCCCGTCAAGGGCCTGGCAGTCCTTCGGCAGTTCCCCTTCTCTTCAGCCCTGCAACGGATGACGGTGGTGGCCCAGGAGGTCCCCGGGGATGGCCAGGTCTTCATGAAGGGCGCCCCAGAGATGGTGGCCAGTTTCTGCCAGCCAGAGACAGGTGAGCCCTCAGCTGGCATTGCCCTGCCCCACCTTTTGCCCTCTGTGCCCGGCTGGGCTGAGGGGGGATGCAACCAGAATAGCCATCTTCCAATATCTGAGGGGCTGCCCCAAAGAAAAGGGAGGGTGGGTGGGTGTCAACCTGTTCTCCAAAGCCCCTGAAGGCAGGACAAGAAGCAACGGATGGAAACTCACCAAGGAAAGAAGCAACCTGGAATTAAGGAGAAACTTCCTGACAGAACAATTAACCAGTGGAACTGCTTGACACCAGAAGTTGTGGGTGCTCCATCACTGGAGGCTTTCAAGAAGAGACTTGTCTGAAATTAGTATAGGATCTCCTGCTTGAGCAGGGGGCTGGACTAGAAGACCTCCAAGGTCCCTTCCAACTCTGTTATTCTGAGGCTCTGTTCCAGCCTGGCAGTTGGGGCGGGGCGGGGGCTCAGCGCTGGAGGATCTAAATGGTGGCGGGGAGGGGCTTTCTTGGTGGGACCCCTAATTTGTGTGAGGGTCCAGAGGGAGTGGTGCAGAGGGTTCAAGGCCTGTCCCTGGTCTTGGCCGGGGTCTTTCTTACAATTGCATGGGGGTGGGGTCCTTGCTTGCTCTTCCCGGGGTGTGACTGTCTCCCCCTCCCCCAGTGCCCCCCAGCTTTGCCCGTGAGCTCCAGGGCTGCACTTCCCAGGGCTTCCGAGTCATCGCGCTGGCGCACAAACGTCTGCAGGAAGGAAGACCGGTCGCCTCCCTGACCAGGTAAGGGGCTGGGGGGTCCAGCAGGCGGGCAGGAGAGAGGGCTGAGGCTGCCTGCCAGGGGGGCCCAGGGGGGGCGGGGAGCGGACCCTCTGCTGGCCCTCGAGGCAGCCCAGCCCTGCCCGGCTTCCCAAGCATGGCCGGAGTGCAGCTGACCAGCCCCTGGGAGAGAGGGGGTCGCTCCTGAGCCCCCTGACCTCAGGCAGCCTCGCTTGGGGTACTTGGGGGTGACAGGAGCTCTCCTGGGGAGGAGGAGGACCCTCTTGCCACCCACACACCCGTCCCTTTCCCCTGTCCAGGGAGGAGGTGGAGTCCAGCCTGACCTTCCTGGGCCTGCTGGTCATGGAGAACCGGCTGAAGAGCGAGACCAGGCCGGTCCTGCAGGAGCTCAGCCAGGCCCACATCCGGAGCGTGATGGTCACAGGTGAGTCCGCCATTTGGGCCAGGCAGCTGGAAGCCGGAGAAGCCCCTGGCTCTGTTGCCGGGGAGACGGTCCACTCAGCATCCTTCGCAAGATCCTGGTCTGCGAATCCAGGATGCTGGGATACATCCTGGGGGGGGGGCTTCCAGGGAGTCTCCAAACCAGACCCCATAAGCAGGGATACCTCTGCCAGGATCCCCTTCACCTCTCTTCCTAGAGGGTTTTCTTTCTTTACCACCACATATCCCATGCTTCCCTTCCTGCACGACTGCCTGAGAACCAAGGGAGTCCCATGGGGGATGTTGCAATGACTGATGGAAACTTTGGGGTAGCAAAACCCAAAAATGAGTCCTTCTCTGGGACCGGCAGAGGCATCGCCTTCTGTGCAAGGAAAGGGGGGGGGGCAGGCCTCCCTCTGACACCCAAGGGGCGCCCTTCTGCCCAACTTTCCTAAAGACAAGGCTTAAGGTTGGGCCCTGAACCCCCACCCCCACCCCCCAAACTCCAGGGTCAGTTGGCGATGCCACTTCTCGACTTCCCAGGTGACAACCTTCAGACCGCGATCACTGTGGCCAGAAACGCGGGCATGATCCCGCAGGGCAGCCGGGTGATCCTGGTGGAAGCCGGTACCCAGCCGGGCCAGCCCTCGGCCTCCGTCCGCTGGGAGGAGCTGGAGGATCCCAGCCAGGAAGGCAGCGGAGCAGAGGTGAGTGGACCAGCGGACGGGAGGGAGGGAGGGGCAGGAGCAGCTGGGCAAAGCTCTCGGGTTGCCCCCGTGCCCTCCAGACCCCATCGGGAGGTGCCCTCTGGGCATCAAAACACGGGACCCAGAGGAAATCACCAGGGTTCCCTGCAGGTTTATTATCAGGGAGTAGTAGTGCTGGAGGAGTGGGAGGCACTCCCTGCAAACAAAGAGATGCATTCATATTTATACATTTCAGAAAAAAGGAAAAATGACGCGTATTGCGTACGTATTCATAAGTGGAAACTCAGAGCTTGCTTCCTGCCCTTCGGGTAGCTGCAGAGAACAAGGGTCTCCGCACAAACAGCTGCATCAGAGACCCCCCGGGGTCGCTCGGCGAATGCTCTGAGGAAACGTAGCTGCACCCCCCCCATCGTGAGCTGCAGGGCCCCCTTCCTTGTTTATTGAACAGTCCCCTTCATCTGATTTTCCCCACACGGTTCCTCCTTTCTCCTTTGCAGGTGGTGGTTCTGGAGCCGGAGGGAGACCCTCTGCCCGCCAGGGACCGCGGCTTCCACTTCTGCCTCAGCGGGAGCTCCTACGAGGTCTTCAGCCAGCACTTTGGGCAGCTCCTCCCGCAGGTGAGTGCGGAGACCCCAGCCCGGAGGGGGGTGGAAACGCTTGCCCGGCCAGCCTGCTCTGGGCTCCCTTCTTCTCCCTGTGGGTCTGCCCCCCTGTGAAGCCATGGCTCTCTCCCGCAGCTGCTCCTGAACGGGACGGTCTTTGCCCGGATGTCTCCTGCTCAGAAGGCCCACCTGGTGCAACAGTTCCAGCAGCTTGAGTGAGTGAGGGGCCTCGGGGGGGGGCCTGAAAGGGAGTTGGGCAGAAAGGGGGGCAGCTACCGGGCTCGCCGGGACTCACGGAAAGGGGCGGGCGCTCTCTCCTCTCTTCCAGCTACTACGTGGGCATGTGTGGAGACGGGGCCAACGACTGTGGGGTGAGTCTTCCACCGCTGCTGAGCACGGTGGCACGAGTTTCCCTGGACGATGGGCAGGGACAGAGCAGAATTGACCCCTTGAATGGTGGCACCTTTTGGGGATCCCTGGGCCAATAGGGCTGGCTCCCCCTGCCACACTCAGGGTGGGGGCCAAGGAAAGCAGGCTGGGCACCTTCGCCAGGTACCGAATGGCTGTCCAGAAGACGTTGCTGGCATGTGTCCTGGTTCCGACGGATGAAACTCTTCAAAGAACTTCGAGGCATTGTTTACCTTAAAAAATCTTTATTCGAGTAGCATCGCATCGGCACGTACATAGGCGAAGCCAAAATTTGAATTCCCCTCCCCTGAGCACATAGTATCAAAGCACAATTCCCTCCTCCAATTAACAGTCATAAATCACATTCCCCAATTAGTTTGAAATGCAGGCTTTCCCTCCAGTTCTCCAGCCCGCCAATTCTTACCATCTCTTATTTCAAAAGCCCTGAGTTCACACACTATTACAATATTGTTATGTCTAACTAACTCCCATCACATTCCTCCTCCTCCCCCAGTATCATCTAATTCTAAGAGTAAAGCATAAGAAAGAAAAAGGCTGCATCTCCAGATGTTGTCAAAGCAAGAACATCCAATGTTAGCAGCATTGACAGCATCTTCACAAGAACGGGAGAGGCCGCTGGGTGAAACTACCAGCTAATTCTCACTTGAATCCGGCAGAGCGGCTTGGCTGATCCGGCCGGGAGCCTCTGCCCCTCTTTGGAAAAGCCCTCCAGTCCAGGCCAGCTTTTCTTTGAGTGGGTGGGCCCTGCCCTCCTTCCCCTCCCCCATCTCCCCTCTCTCACCATTTCCCCCTCCCCTGTCCTCCCTCCCGCTCTTTCCCCCTCCCTGGTCTCCCCTCCCCCATCTCGCTTTCTCAGTCTCCTCTGTGGTTAATTCACCTGAGCAGCACCCGGTCAGGATCTGCCTCTTGGATCCTCCCGGCGGAGGGCACCCCAGCAGGTGACCCGGCCTGGCCCTGAGTGCGGGTTCTTCCCTTTCAGGCCCTGAAGGAAGCCCACGCGGGGATCTCCCTCTCTGAGCAGGATGCCTCGGTGGCCTCCCCCTTCACCTCCAAGGTCCCCACCATCGAGTGTGTGCCGGAACTGATCAGGTGGGTTGCGGGCAGAGCCCCGAGGAGAGATGATGGGCAGGGGTGCCAAGGGGGGGGGCTGAGTTGAGGTTCTACACCACACGGAGTCTTTTGGGCAGAGGATCTGAGTGGGGAGGGGGCGCCTTTGCAAAGAGGTGGAGCCTCCGTACTGGGAGGGGCTCCTTTGGCAGAGCTGGGCTGCCTATGAACACCCCCTCCCCCGATTCAGGGGAGGGGCTGCAGCCCCTTCATCCGATGCAGGCTGGGCTCTCTCTGATGGGAGCAGCAGAAGTTGAAGGTTTTACTTGTTGCATGTGGGAAAGGAGCCTCTAGCCGGGAGCCTGTGAAGAGCCCTGAGCAGAGCAGAGGGTCTCCCCAGAGGAGGAGAGGCCTGGGGCAGGAAGGCCCAGCTTTGCTCCTCCAGCGGGGGTCAAGCCCCCCCCAGAGCCCTGCTGGTCTTGGTCTCTGGAGGAGCTGAAAACCTCCCCAAAGCTCCCCGTTTTTGCCTTCCTCTTCCTTGCAGCAATTCCACCTGCACCCCCATCTCCCCTCCCCCCCCGGCCTGGTCTTGAGGTCTCTAAAGAGCCCCCTCCCTGCCCCACTCTCCTCACTAATGCCCCCCCTCCTGTTTCCCCCCAGGCACGGCCGGTCTGCCCTGGTCACCTCCTTCTGCATGTTCAAGTACATGGCCCTCTTCAGCCTGGCCACCTACATTGGCGTCCTCCTGCTCTACTGGGTACGGTGGCCGCGGCTCCCTTCTTCTTTTCCAGAACCGGAGTGGGGAGGGGGCGCTGCAGGGGTTGGTCCCACCAGGAACCAGGCATCTTCCTGGCAAGGGCCAGCATTGGAAGGTTGCTACCCTCTGGACCACCAGACCTGGGTCAGAGGGCTCTTGTGAATGGGCTGTCTTTCCTGCCAAGAGAAGCCCACTAGTCTGGGCTTCTTTCTTTGCCCCCTGGGCGCTGCACCTCCTGCCCGACAGCTATATGGGGAGGGGGGCCTTAAGGGGCTGGCAGTTCGGACCGAGCTTTTGCCAACTAGCAGCAAAACAACAAGGGAGGGTGGCTGGCCAAGCCCGGAGTTCTGCTCCAGGGAGCCGCTGCAACGAGCTGGCTGGCGTTCGCCTAGTTTTGTGGGAAGCCGAAGCCCCCACCCCTTCCCCTCTCCTCCAGTCAGAAGGTCTGGGGCTGGAAGGAGAGAGACCCTCTTCTGGGACTCAAGACCTCCAATTGTGCTTCTCGCTTTCAGCAACTCAACTCCTTTGCGAATTACCAGTTCCTCTTCCTAGACCTGGCCATCACCACCGTCATTGGGATGACAAGTAAGCCGCCCCCGATCACGCCAGGAGAAGAGGCGGGACTTCCTGTGTGGAAAGCTAGCCAGGGCCTTGCTAAGACCCAGGAAGGACCCCACCCACGCACCCTACACAGGCCTGGTTCTGCCTGGGCAGCCACCTCTGCTCTGCCAAGCAACGGGCTCAAGAGAGGATCTCCTTTGGGCCTGGCAGGGGCCTCTCTCTGGCCGGGCAAAGCAGGCTTGGTGCAGGGTGGGGGAGCCCCCTTTAGGGGCAGACCCTGCTTCCTTCCGGCCGCCAGTGCGCTTGTGTGCCAAGAGGAAAGCTGGCACCGGCTCCCCCTTTTTCTCCTGTGAGAAATGATGCCCTCCCTGCCAAGGGGGACCCTGCAGGCATAAAATGTGGGGGTTCCTTCAGGGTCCCTGAAGCCCCGTCTCCACGCCTGCTGGGCCAAGTCTCCGGGCTGGGATCTGCCTTCCCAAAGCCCAGGGTGGTGCTTGGCCCCCTTGGAGCTGCTCTGGCCAGGTGTGTGTGTGTGTGTGTGTGTAGAGCAGCTGCCCCACCTTCTACCCCCCCTTGCAGTGAGCCTGAACGGGCCCCACCCTGGGCTGGCGCCCTACCGGCCCCCCACGCAGCTGCTGGCCCCTCCGCTGCTGCTCTCCGTGGTGCTGAACCTCCTCTTCAGCCTGGCAGTGCAGCTCTGCGGCTTCCTGATGGTGCAGCAGCAGCTCTGGTACTCCCCCAGCGACATCCACAGGTAGGCCAGACCCCCCCCCCGGTCCCACGGCATGGAGGCCCCGTCCTCCCCCCCCAATAGAGTGTGGGGAGGCCAGGAGAGCCGAGGCACAGACCCAGCTGCATTGGCTAAGATGGCTGCCTCTGTTGAAGCCCAGGGAACTCTGGGGTCCCAATTTATTCTAATTCACGTGCCACCCCCGTCTCACTATCCACTCTGAGCAGCCTTCAAAGGCATAAAAGCATAAATATGGCAGTATTAAAATTAACAACACAGGTTGAACACCAAGAACATGGTGAGACAGTACGGGAGTGGACTTCTGTTAATAGGTTATAGGTTCTCCTGCTTGAACAGGGGGCTGGACTAGAAGACCTCCAAGGTCCCTTCGAGCTCTGCTCTATTTCTATTCTATTCTATTCTATTCTATTCTCCACTCTACTCCTACTCTACTCTACTCTACCTACTCTACTCTACTCTACCTACTCTACTCTACTCTACTCTACTCTACTCTACTCTACTCTACTCCACTCCACTCCACTCCACTCCACTCCACTCCACTCCACTCCACTCCACTCCACTCCACTCTATTCTCTATTCCATCCCATCCCTTCCTGTCCCGTTCCGTTCCGTTCTGTTCCATTCTATTCTATTCTATTCTATTCTATTCTATTCTATTCTATTCTATTCTATTCTATTCTATTCTATTCTATTCCCAATAAAGATTTCTATTCTATTCTATTCTATTCTATTCTATTCTATTCTATTCTATTCTCTTCTCTTCTCTTCTCTTCTCTTCTCTTCTCTTCTCTTCTCTTCTCTACTCTACTCTACTCTACTCTACTCTACTCTACTCTACTCTACTCTACTCTACTCTACTCTAAACTACTCCACTCCACTCTACTCCACTCCTTCTCTATTCCATCCCATCCCTTCCTGTCCCATCCCGTTCCGTTCCGTTCCGTTCCGTTCTATTCTATTCTATTAATAGACTGGACAGCCATTTGATGGTATAATGTCTCCTGCCTTGAGCGGGGGGGGTTGGACTAGAAGGCCTCTGAGGTCCCTTCCAGCTCTAGGATCCTATGCTCTAATTATATAAATGTAATAAACAAATAAACAATGAATAATTGAGGTCTCCCCCCCCATTTCCTTCCAGCGCCTGCTCCCCCGTGAACGCCACTCACCCCCCGAGCCCTGGGCCCAGAGCCCCCCTGCCCCCCAGGGACGGCTTCCAGAGCTACGAGAACAGCAGCGTGTGGCTCCTTTGCACCCTCAACTGCCTGGCGGTGGCCCTGGTCTTCTCCAAGGGGAAGCCCTTCCGGGAGCCCGTCTACAAAAACTGTGAGAGCCCCCAAGCAGAGGCAGGGGAGGGGGAGCCTTGCTGGGGGGGCTGAGCGACCAGGGGTCCCCACCGGAGGCCAGGCGGGGAGGGGGCCCTGGGAGCTTGCAGCCTCCATCCCTGCGCCCCTTTCCCTGCTGGCACCGGCCCTTGGCGCCTCCTTCCTGGGCCCCCCTCTCCTCACCCCCCAACCCTTTCCTTCCCCCAGACCTCTTCATGGGGGCCCTGACGGTGCAGCTGGCCGTCTGCCTCTTCTTCCTCTTCGCCAATTTCGAGGGACTCTACGCCCAGATGGAGGTAAGCAGGAGGGAGGGGTGGGGGCTGGCCACAGGGGGTCTGGGGGGTGCCCATCCCAGAGACCCACTTCTCAGCCTGGCCAAGGTGGGGCTGGCAGAGCGTCAGGTGAGCCCCTTCCGGCCTCCTGAGCGTGGCAGAAGGCTCAGCCGATGGCCTGGAAGGTGTGGGGGGTCGGGTGGAGGGGGCAAGAGGCAGAGCCCACCCTCTTTCTCCCCCCTCTCTCCCCCCCTCCCTGCCATCTCTCCCCCCCACAGCTGGTATGCACCCCCTCCCTCTGGAGGGTCTGGCTCCTTGGGCTGCTGCTGGTCGCCTTCATCGCCTCCTTCGCTGTGGAGGTGAGTGGGGTCCTGCTTTGCCCCCCCCGCAGCCAAAAACTCCCCCCCTCAGGATTCCATGGGGGCTTGGCCACAGCCCCTGCTCTGTGCAATGCCCCCTCCCCCGTGCCAGTCCGTCTGTGGGCAGAGGGTGGCACGGCTGGCATCTGCTCTGAGGCTGGGGGGGCATTTGGCTCCCTGTGAAGGAAATCTCCGTTTCTGCCTTCCTGCGTTCCAGTAGCTGGAAACAAGCTCCCCCCCCCCCCCGTGGATGGCCTGGAAGTAGGAGGAGAGCTGCCCCCTTCCGGCCCTGTCGGCTAGGTGCCCCCCCACCCGTGCCCCACAGCAGGAAGGGTGGAAGGGCAGGACAGGCATTTCTGTAGTTTGGTACTCACTGACCCCTCCCCACCGGCCATCCAGTTCCCCAGGCCTGGCGATCCCTTGGGGGGGGGAGCCTTTGTTTCCTGCTTGTTGCATCCTGCACTGAATCAGACTCAGAATAGAGCTGGACGGGACCTTGGAGGTCTTCTAGTCCAACCCCCTGCTCAGGCAGGAGACCCTGCCCAATCTCATCTTAAAAGCCTCCAGTGATGGAGCAGCCACAACTTCTGGAGGCAATTCCTGTTCCACTGGTTGATTGTCCTCACTGTTAGGAAGTTTCTCCTTAGTTCCAGGTTGCTTCTCTCTTTGGTCAGTTTCCATCCGTTGCTTCTAGTCTTACCTTCTGGTGCTTTAGAAAATACATTGACCCCCACTCTTCTTTGTGGCAGCCCCTCAAATACTGGAAGGCTGTTGTCATGTCCCCCTTAGTGCTACTTTTCTCTAGACTGGCCATTCCCAAATCCCGCAGCTGTTCTTCATATGTTTTTGTCTTCAGGCCTTTGATCATCTCAGTTGCTCTTCTTTGCACCTGTTTTGCACTTCTTTGCAGCACCACCATTCCTGCCAATCCAAAATGGTGGGCTGGGGGGGGATTTTGTCCCCTGCTGTGGCCTGCTGACCCCCGCTCTGCCTTCCTCCCCCTGCAGGAATGGCTGATAGAGAACCGGGCGCTCTGGCAGTGGATCAAGAGGGCCGTGGGGTACCAGTCCAGCAGCCGCTACAAACAGCTCCAGCGGGCCCTGCAGGAGGACCCGGCCTGGCCCCCCATCGACAGGACGGACGTCTCGAGCTCCACGGTTGTCCCCCTCGAAGGGCCGGGCCCCGCCTACTCCAACCCGGCCTTCGTGAGCCACGAGCAGCCGTGCCACAAATGCTGAGGCCGAGTCTCTGCTGGCAGCACGGCTGGCCCAACCTCAAGGCACCGGCCCTGGATGCCCCTTGCCTGTGGATCTCGGGGGCACCGGAGAGCAGCCGGGAGATGCCTACCAGGGGGTCAGCAGTGGGGAGGCAGGAGCAGGGAGGGAAGCCCCATTGGGAGCCTGGGAAAGAGCTGGGGGAGGGGCGGTGAGTCCACCTGCCCTGATGGAGGGGTCGTCTGGAGGGTCCCAAAGGGATCAGATGTGGGGAAGGTCCCCTAAGACCCTGCCCTGTTAAGCCACAAGGATGCCCCACATCCTAGGGGGGGAGTGGGCTTGCTCCAGAAGCTTCTGCTGGGCAGCCCTGGGCCAAAGAGGGGCTGGAAGGGGTCGCAGCTGCTTCAGCTCCCCCTGCCCCAAACCCAGGGACAGCCTTCCTCGCCCTTCTGCCCCCCAGATGTCTGCAGCTGCCAAAGGGTCGTGTGTGAAGGCAGCTTCTCTGCCAGCCCTTCACTCCTCAGATCTGGCCCAGCTTCCTGCTCCCTTCCCCACCCAGGGTCCCCTCTTCCTTTCCTTCCCATCCTTCGCCAGCAGGCGTCTCTCCTGCCTTTCTCGAGGCCCAGAAAGTCCCCCCCATTTCCCCCTATTGGGGTGTCTGAGGAATCTCCCGGGTCCTTTTCTGGGACCGTCATCTCTCCTGGTAGAAACAGGCAGCTGCCGTTACAGGTGGCCCCTTCTGTGCCCAGCAGGGGTCAGTCTTTCCCTGTGCTCTGGGGGCCTCTAGTGGTTCCCGTGGGCATTGCAGGGGCAATCTGGAAGTTGCTGCTACTATTTTGTTTACACTGATTTCTGTTTAAATGTTGGGGTCCAGTGGGGGCCTGCCTGATGGCGATGATGATGAAGATGACAGAGTGGTCTTCTTAAAGGAGCAGATCAGGGGCGGCCATCCTGGCCCTTTTCGAAGAACTTCATCATTCTTTAACATTTTCTGTTCCAAGAACAGCCGAGAAAGAGCTCCCCCCCCGACTTTAATTAAATGCAACTGACACACTTGCAGTCTGTACAGCTGATATTTCCCCCCCCCACCCGTGATCCTATCGAAAGTTGTAGCTTTTGCAAAAGCTCTTTGGGGCCCTGGATGAAGGCTGGGGTGAACTCAGCCCTGGGGGGGGCTTGGGGGTCTTTCGCCCAGGACCACCTCTGCTGTACCGGCAGCTGGGGGGAGGGGGTGCCTACAGGCCTTCCCAGCCCTGAGCTGAGCAGCTGGCCAAGGCCTGAGCCCCCCCTCCATGAAAAACCCCAGGGGGCTCAGGGCTGGGGTGGGAGGCATTTTTTTCCTTCTTGGGAGAGAACTCCCCCCCTCCCCCCCAGAATCCTGTGCCTTGAAGGGGGGCCCTTTTGAGGGTGGGAACTGCACTGCAGCCCCGCCACACGTTCTGACCGGGCTGAAGTGCCACGTTCCATGTTGCACAGCCTGGTCTTGGCAGGATGCCCGTCAGGCAACATTGGCAGAGCCCAATGGCTCAGTGAGTGTTCCTGGGGCAGTTTGAAAATGCCAGCACCCCCCCCTCTTCCCCCCCCTGGACTGGTGTTTCTGCAAAGAACAGAAGTTTACAGACTTTGGAGTGATTTATTTATGTATTTATATCACAGGCTTTTGCATGTGACAGGCAGTCCTGGACATACGACCACAAGGGGGCCCAAAATTTCTGTTGCTAAGTGAAGCATTTGTTAAGTGAGTTTTGCCCCATTTTACGACCTTTCTTGTCACAGTCGTTAAGCCAATCCCTGCAGCCGTTAAGTCAGTCACCCAGTCATTCAGTGAATCTGGCTTCCCCCCCTTGACTTTGCTTATCGGAAGGTCGCAAAAGTGGATCACGTGACCCCCCCCCCCGTGAAGTATGAGACAGTAGCCAAGCGTCTGAAATTTGATCACACGACCACAGGCAACGGTCGTAAGTGTGAAAAATGGTCATAAGTCACTTTTTTCAGTGACGTCGTAACTTCGAACGGTCCCTAAAAGAACAGTTGTAAAGTCGAGGACGACCTGTACTGTGAAACAAAACACAAAGACCCACAACAATAACAAATCGAGCTACTAAAGCCCGCAAAGACCCCACTGAACAAGTCTTAGCAATCAACAACAGCACAACATTTAAAACAGCATCCCATATTATGCCCCCCCACACCTGTGACAGTTCGAAAGAGGCCTCGGCCGGGGACGGTCTGTTCACGAAGGGCAGGAAAGAACAACCAGACCCTACACAATCCCACTAACCAGATTTTTTAAAAAGAGGGCGGAGAAATAAAGGTGGATCTGGGTTAATAATTCACCCATTTATCAAATGCATCCATCTCTTCCGTGTCACAGTCAGGCAGCTGACGGAGAATTCAAAAAGATAATTAAACCATCCATGGTAGCTCCTAAAAATATCCCCACGCATCATGAATAACAACAAAACTCCACCAAGAAATGAACAATAAACTGAGAATAAGAGCTAAAGACGTCCGATTAAAGGAGACTCTCTGGAAGAAAAGTTTTCAAAACTTGGGCCAAACTGTTTCACTGGGGGATGGGGGGTGGTGGTGGTGTTGGTGCTCCAACAGGAATGCAGTGCCTGCCCAGTTCAGCCCCCCCCCCTGAATGTCCCCAGCTGTTTCCCCCTGTTCACCTGATTGGCCAGGCTGGTTCTGCAGATATTTGGGCACCAAACTATGAAAAGCTTTATAAATCAACATCCACACCTTAAGTACCACCCAGAAGCCAGGGCCGGGTCTGCCAAACCAGGGCTCCTTGCTCCCAATGCCAGGAGCCCAAAGGTTTCCTGGGCAGTGGGCAGTTTGTGCCCCGAGGACGGTCACGGTGGGCACCGGGGGTCCCAACTGGCTCTGCTCAAGGGAGAACCGTGGGGAGCCATGCCCTGTCCTAAGATCAGGGGACGGAGGGGGCAGGAGCTCCTTCTCAGAGAGGGTGGCAGGGACCCAGGCGTGAGGCAGCCATCAGAGACCCCCAGACCATAATACGGCAGTCTCCCCTGTCAGAAGCCCCCCTTGGATCTCTGAGCTGTTTATTACAGTTTGGAGAAAAAAGAGGACCGCAAAAGTTTCGGGCCAGGGGCTTTCTCTGATCCCCGAATCCTGATGACGAAGAGGCAAAGACGGCGTGCGTGGGAGGCCCCCTTTCTTCACCCCAGGGGGGGCCACACAGCCCCACATCTGCAGGAGCTCCCACTGGAGGGACATCCTGGCAGGAATGTCTCTGGAGATTCTCCGTCATCCGGGTCACGGTTGCCCCAAAGGTGCTTTTTCCAAACGGCAACTGGATTTTCTTCGCTTTTCCTTGAAAACTTTCCCTTCTCATCTAGGAAGTTTCTGAACTTTTTCAAGGCAAGTCTTCAAAGAAAAATAAATAAATAAATAAATAAGGAAGACCAGATGCCTTTTGAAAAGCTCCTTTGGGACATGCTGGCAGGAAGGTGGTTCACCAGTTGGTCAACATCAACCGAGCTTGCTTGATGCAGGAACTCTCTGGGGTGGGGGTCCTCCACACTCACTCAACAACGCCCGACTTTTGCAACCCACTTGGCAATTCCCGACAGAGGCAGCCAGAGATGAGGAAAGACAGAAAGTTCCAGGTTTATTTATTATTAAATTTATATACCGCCCTATCTCCCTTACGGGACTCAGGGCGGTGAACAGGCGATACTAAAAACCACAATAATAAATAAATAGTTTCTGTTGGGGCTGGTCTTCAGCTCTGCAACCCTGAAGAGGGAGATTTCGGATGTAGCCGCTTGTCATCCGCAGGTGGAGCCCCCCCGTCCTTCCCAGCAGGGAAGCGCAACAGCGTCTCTCTGACTCAGGCTGGGAATTCTCTCTGCCTTTCTGTTGAGGCCACGTTCTGCCACGCTAGATGGAGGCCAGAGGTGGCAAGTCCCCAGCTCCAACCTTTAGGGGATGGAGAGGCCAGACTAAGGGGCTGCCACAAGGAAGCCTATTCCCCAAAAGCTTCATGAGGGCAAAAGACAAGAAGCAACGGATGGAAACTCATCAAGGAGAGAAGCAACCTGGAACTAAGGAGGAATTTCCTGACAGTGAGGACAATCAATCAGTGGAACAACCTGCCTCCAGAAGTTGTGGGTGCTCCATCACTGGAGGTTTTTAAGAAGAGGTTTGTCTGAAATAGTCTAGGGCAGGGGTAGTCAACCTTGGCTCTTTTATGACTCGTGGACTTCAACTCCCAGAATTCCTGAGCCAGCTTAGCTGGCTCAGGAATTCTGGGAGTTGAAGTCCACGAGTCATAAAAGAACCAAGGTTGACTACCCCTGGTCTAGGGTCTCCTGCTTGAGCAGAGGGCAGGACTAGAACAGGGGTCCCCAACCCCCGGTCCATGAACTGGCACCAGGTCACAGCATGCCAGAAAACGGGCCGCACAAACAAGCAAAGCCCCATCCATCCGCGGGATGCAGGCAGCACGTGAAACCAGCCCCCCCTGGTCCGTGGAAAAACCCCTCTCCATGGAACCGGTCCCTGGTGCCAAAAAGGTTGGGGGCCACTGGGCTACCTCCAGGATCCCTTCCAACTCACTTCTTCTGTACTTCTTCTGGGGTGTGTGTGTGTGGATTCCACCCAATGGCCATTGTCCGAAGGGGGTGGCCCTGGCCTGCGCAGGAAGACCCTTGGAGAAGGGGAGGAGGGCTCGATGGGATGAATGAGGCCATCGTGGGAGGCAGTGCCGGGTGTGGAAGGCGGCAGGGCCTCTGCCCACGGAGATGCCATCCCAGCCTGGGTGAGTCAGAGTTGAGTATCAGAGATTGATCACTGCCTGGGATTAGGAGAGCAACAAGGTTGGGCCCCGGTTCCGGGTTGAGTAAGGCAGGACTGTTCCTTATTTGTTTGATGATGTCGTGTAAATATTATGTGATCATCTCAACCCCTGAGACTCCAGGATGAACAAATCGAAGACAGGATCCCGTAAACCGAGTAAACGTAAGACAGGATGGCCTGACTGGCTGGGGAATTCTGGCAGATGAAACCCACAAAGTTAGCATGAGTGGACACCCCTCGGTTAAAGCCTTGCCCAGGGAAGGTCCGGCTATCGGCCTCGCCTTTCTTGCTCCCCAGATCTTTCCCGGAACCCCTTTGATGGGGGGTGGGGAATCTCCACCGGCCTCCAAGCATCGGACCTGGTGGCAACACCAGCCCTGCAGCTCAAAGCCTGCGACTCCGATCACCAACCCCAAAGCGCAGCCGTCAGAGGTGCTTCTGGGTGTGTGTGTGTCTCCCTCCTGCAGAGCCAAAGGCGAGGGCCCGGGGATTATGGGTAGGGAAGTCCACGCACAGGTGGGAGCAGGATGGGCAAAGACGTCCGCTCCCCGAGACTTGGGAGCCGCGTTCCCACATGGGAGTCAGGTCTGCACCCGCCCTCACGCACACACTCTTCAGGGCTTACATAACATCTGGAGGCCGGCCGAGAGGAACAGGTTTTATCAGCTGCGGTGATTGCAAAAAAAGCGAGTGTGCATTCCACAACTCCGAGAGCAACACTACGCGCCAGGAGGTGATCCTGCCCGGAGATCAGCTTTTGGCAACTGGAGGGGCAGGAAGGAAGGAAGGAAGGAAGGAAGGAAGGAAGGAAGGACGGCTCCTATGGAGACGAAGCTTCCCATGGACCCCCAACATGCCCTGCTCAATGAGGGGAAGGACGATGAGATGGTAAGGGCAGGGGGACCCTCCCCACGGTTCACCCCCAAAACTGCCCCCTGGATTCTGCTAGCCTGATGTTGCTCCCCCCCCCGGCTCCCCTGAGAGAAGCAGCTCCTCAAGGCCGGGGGCCGTTGTTTAGGGATGCTTGGGCACCCCCCTCTCCATAGCAGGAGGGCTGGCAGGTCTCTTTGTCAGGGGTTGGGTGGGGAGGGGGATGGCGAGGGGGAGGGAGAGGTTGGCAGAGTCTGGTCTCCTTGCCCTCCAGGCCTCTTCCCTTTATTTGGCCCGTGCAGGCTGCTCAACACTGGGGCAAATCCTTCACAAATGCCCCCCCCCCAAAAAGCTCCCCTCCCCACTTGCTGCATCAAGGCTCTTTTGGGTTCATAAAAATCCCTTTCTCACTCAATCAATCAGAATAGAGCTGGAAGGGACCTTGGAGGTCTTCTAGTCCAGCCCCCTGCTCAAGCAGGAGACCCTATACCATCTCAGACCAATGACTGTCCAGTCTCTTCTTAAAAACCTCCTGTGATGGAGCAGCCACAACTTCTGGTGGCAAGCTGTTCCATTGGTTAATTGTCTTCACTGTTAGGAAGTTTCTCCTTAATTCCAGGTTGCTTCTCTTCTTGATTACTTTCCATCCATTGTTTCTTGTCCTGCCTTCAGGCGCTTTGGAAAATTCTCCCCCACTGCTGCTGCTAGAAACTCCTTCTGGAGGAGAGCCTGCTCTGGAGTGGGGGGTCCATGGATGTATCCATGGGGGGTGGGGGGTTCTTTTCTTCTGCAACTGGAAGTTGTGGGTTTCCACAGCATAAGTTCTACTTCTCCTAGCTGAGTGACAGGAAGGACATAATTTGGAAAGAGGGGGCCTGCAGATAAGATCCAGACTGGTATATTGATACAGTACAAGAGATCCCCAGTAGCTCAGGAATGAACTGGGGGGGGGGGGGAGTCTTCAGTGCTCTCCAAACAGGGCTGTTTTCTTGTGGACATTTTCGGACCCAATTAGGTAACATCATCAGGGCTAGAAGGTAAAGGGGATTATGAGGAGGAGGAGGAGGAGGAGGAGGAGGAGGAGGAGGAGGAAAAGAATAGGGTCCTTGGTGTTCTCTGAGCTGGGTGGTTTTCTTGCAGACATTTCATTACCCAACTAGGTAACATCATCAGGGCTAGAAGGGAGGGGGGTTGCTGCCTAGTTACAGGTAGTTCTCAACTTACAACTGTTTGTTTAGCAACCCTTCAAAGTTACGATGGTACTGAAAAAAATGACCTACAACCAGTTTTCGGGCGTCCGATTATGGCCGCGTCCGCAGGGCCACCTGATCAGAATTGGGGTGCTTGGCCTCCATGGCTGCAGTGTCCCCCGCCACCTTCCGCCACCTCCCCAGGTAGCTTCTGACAAGGAAAGCCAATGGGGGGGGACTGGATTCATTTAACAGCCTTGTGGTACACTTAACAACTGCAATGATTCATTTAACAACCATGGCCAAAAAGATTGCAAAACCAGGTGCGACTCATTTAACAACTGCCTTGCTTAGTAACAGAAATTCTCATCCCACTTGTGATCATAAGTTGAGCATTAACTGTACGTACAGTAATTTGCCCTCTCAGTGTTGTTGTTGTTGTTGTTGTGTGTGTGTGTGTGTGCGTGTGTTGGTTCCTTCATTGGGCTGTTGCTTTACTGTTTGTTTGTTTTTATTGAAAAGTTTTATAAAAGTTACAATATAAACCCCAAAACCAACCCACCCTAAAGCCCCCCTCTCCCTCCCCCACTTCCCAGAGCTGAATACAGGGTTACAAATATAATAATCATAATCTAACTAACATTAACCAACTATATAAATAACCAAGTCCATAATGCGCTTTAACTCCCCTTTAACATAAATAATTAAAACATAAACAAATTAGTATCCTAATCATTAAACAATAGAATATCCATATTGTTAAACAATACTAATACTAAAAGTAATAGTATAATTAAAACTAATAAAAATTTCACTATAATAAACTATTAATACTAATAATACTCTAAAATTTACTCATAAGCTAAATGGAACTTTTTAGTCCCGTATTTATTCTGAATATAATCTATCCATCTTCTCCAAACCGAAATGTATCTTTCTTGTGAGTGATCCTTCAAATAGGCAGAAAGCCATTTCTGCTAAATTTGACACTTTAAGCGTCCATTCTTCTATAGTAGGCAAGCAATCCTTCTTCCAATATTGCCCTACTAATAACCTTGCAGCTGTTATCAAATTCAACATCAAGTTAGTTTCTTTAGTACCACAATCTGTAATAACACCCAACAAAAATAATTGTGGAGTGAACTTTATCTTTCTCTTGAAAATCTTTTGAATGTTCCACCAAATCTTAATCCAAAAAGCCTTTATATTTCTACAAGTCCACCAAATATGAAAATAAGTAGCATCCAAGCTACCACATCTCCAACATTTGGGCTGTAAATTAGGATACATACAAGACAACTTTTTAGGATCCAGATGCCATCTATAAAACATTTTGTAAAAATTTTCTCTTAAATTTTGGGCCTGGGTAAATTTTACATTTCTAACCCAAATTACCTCCCATATATCCAGTGGAATCGGTTCTTGAACATTTTGGGCCCACTTTACCATACAATCCATTTCCGAATCCATCTCTATTAAAGCATTATAAATTCTCTTTATATGTGCTCGATTTTGATCTTTAATCTGTTTTACCAAATTCTCATCCATTAATGTAATACCAACCTTTTGATCTAACTTCCACCTAACCAACAATTCGGTATACTGAAACCAAGACTGTACAATATTTTCTTGCTTTAACTCAGCTAACGATTTTAATTGCCAATCATTCCCTACCAATCTAAGTAATTCCTTATAAGAAATCCTATCCAAATTCTTGTAAGGAATTACTTAGATTGGTAGGGAATGATTGCCAATCATTCCCTACCAATCTAAGTAATTCCTTGTTGCTTTGCTGTTTGATTGTTTGTCTGAGTTGGGGATTCCTTGGTTAGGACATCCTTTATCGCTTGATTGTTTGCCAGGTGTTAATTCCTGCCAATCTGGGTGTTGTCAGCTCAGACCCGCAACGAAGCACTAAGCAACAGCCTAACCAAGAAGCAACGCAGCAGGGAACAGCACCCCTACTCCCAACGCTGACAGGCTCTGTCTCGGGAGGGTCTCCGCCATCCAGGCCGGGGATCTTGTCCCAAAGGTGCTTTTTCCCCCAAAAGGCAACTGGACTTTCTTGGTTTTCTTCTCATCCAAGAAGCTTCTTCAGCTGAAAAAAAAAGCTTCTTGGATGAGAGGTGAAACGTCTTCAGAGAAGAAACAAAGTCCAGTTGCCTTTTGGGACTGGCAGGGTACACCAGCTGACATCAACCTCCCCTCCAGTGGTGGGATTCAGATAGGCCAGGGGTAGGCAACCTTGGCTCTTTTATGACTCGTGGACTTCAACTCCCAGAATTCCTGAGCCAGCATGGGGGAACTATGGCCCCTTCATGACTGGCAGACTTCAACTCCCAGAATTCCTGAGCCGACATGGCTCAGCTTGGAAACTCTCCCTTTCCCCTCAGCATGGCTGGCTCAGGAATTCTGGGAGTTGAAGTCCACGAGTCATAAAAGAGCCAAGGTGGCCTACCCCTGAGATAGGTGAACAACCGGTTCTCTGTCTGGAAGCTGCTTCTGGAAGTCCATTCTGGGCCTGGGCAACACAAAATTAGTTACTGGTTCTGCCGAAGTGGTGTGAACTGGCTGAATCCCACCACGTCTCCCCTCCCTCTCCCCCCAGTGCTGAAGATGTTCCCTAGCAGGATAAGGAAACGTCTGCAAGGAAACAGCCAACTTCAGAGACCAACAAAGACCCCACAAACCGGCATTTTTTGCCCCCCCTTCCTGTAAACACGAATCTGCGGTGGATGGTCCGAAGCGGTAACACACCCTACTGCTTTCCTGAGGCACATCGATCATAGAATCCTAGGATGCGAAGGGACCTCGGAGGTCTTCTAGTCCAACCCCCTGCTCAAGGCAGGAGACCTTATATCATCCCACTCAAATGGTTGCGTAGTCTAGTTTTGAAAGCCTCCAGTGATGGTGCACCAACAACCTCAGGAGGCAAATTGTTCCATTGATTAATTGCTCTCACTGTCAGGAAATTTCTCCTTACTTCTAGATCGGATCTCTCTTTGATAAGACTCACCCGTTACTCTTTGTGGTGCCATCAGGTGCTCTGGCGAGTAAGTCAATCCCCTCTTCTCTGTGACAGCCCCTCAAGTCTTGGAAGACACGTCACCCCTAGTCCTTCTCTTCAGTAGGCTGGATACCAGGGTCCCCCAACTGGTCCTCACACAGCTTAGCCCCCAGAGCCCCAGATCAATCTTTGCTGCTCTTCTCTGCACTCTTTCCAATCTCTCAACATCTTTTTTGTATGGTGAACGGGATGTAGGATTCCACGTGTGGCCTCACCAGTGCTGTGTAAATCACAGTGTGGTATTAACACTCCACCTGATCTTGATATTGCCTCTCTTTTGATGCAGTTTAGGGCTGAGTTGGCTTTTTTTTTGGGGGGGGGGGAACTGCAGCAGACTGCTGGCTGAGCTGTAAGTGGCTGTCCACCAGGACTCCTAGGTCCCTCTCACAGTTTCTGCTATTGACCCACGTATGTCCTATTCCACACCTGTGCATTTGGTTTTTCCTGCCTAAATATAAAACCTTACTTTTCTCACCACTGAATCACATTTGACACAATAACAGAGTTGGGAGGGACCTTAGAGGTCTTCTAATCCAACCCCCTGCTCAAGCAGAAGATCCTATGCCAGTGATGGTGAATCTTTTAGAGACTGAGTGCCCAAACTGCAACTCAAAACCCACTTATGTATCATCAGGTGCCGGGTGGGCGTGGCCCATTGGGTGGGTGTGGCTGCGGTGGTAACGGCAGACTGGGTGGGACTAAAAAGTTCAATCAATCAATTCCAAATTTGCGAGATCTTTTTTTTCCAGCGAGAAGTTGAA